GCATTCGAATGTAACTCCTTTCTTTCTTAAATTGTTTAAAGGTAAAATTTTTTCAGCATATTTATCAATGTGTCGACCATAAAAGTTTATTAATCCTATAAATGACTCGAGTTCCTTTTTATTATTAGGAGGACTTATTCCAAGTATTTTGCTGACTAAATTACGATCTGGGGTAACTCCTTTTTCTGACAGTTCATATCCTAAAAATGAAAGACTTTTTGTTTCATTCACTGACTTTCGTTTATTTATGCTCATTCCCGATTCCTTCAATTTGCTCAATATTTTGTTTAAATTCGATTTGAGTTCTTCAGCATTTTTAGCACCGACACATATATCGTCTTGAAATATAATCATATTGGGAATAATATCGCCAACAACAGATTCTATCGCTTTTGAAATATCGCACTTGCAGTCTTAATTCCGAAAGGTAAACAGGTCCATCTTAATAATCCAATAGGGGTATTAACTGTTGTTATTTCTTGTGCCTCTTTGTCCATCTCAATTTGATGATAAGCTCCCTTGAGATCAATTTTAGCAAAATATTTCATCCCTGCCATTTTATGAAATACGGTCTCAATGTTTGGGATGGGATATGAGTCTGAGCATATTTTTTGGTTAACACCTATTTTGTAATTCGCACAAATGCGTAAATCTCTGTCTGTTTTTCTAACAACCACAAGCGGTGAAGCCCATCTGCTTCCACCAGGAGGAACCCTTTGAAGCAACCCTTGCTGTATCATTCCATTAAGTTTATCTACCACTAGTGGTCTTATATGGATAGGAAGAGGTCGAGCTTCAAAATAAGTTGGTTGTACGCCGTTTTTTAACAGAATATTTGCTTTGTAATTAATTAAACGCCCATGAACAAGAGGTTCTATACTATTTACTAATTTTGTGGCGTTGATATTTAATACATCCATACCAATTAGACCATGATTTTTTGTACAGTCTGCAACAATAATTCGTACGATATTCATTTTTGATTCGGTTTCCAAAGTTGCCTCAAATTCGCCTAGGACTTTTATAACTGTGCCATCAAACTGTTTCAGGCGAAGGTAGCATTTTTGTAATTTCGGTTTAGACATTAGTTCCCAAAATTTTTTTGGAATAATTGTGACTTGACTTCCGGTGTCAACTTGCATTTTTATATTGTAGTCATTAATTTTTACACTAATCTCTGAGTTTGTATCATTCATATTAATGGAATACACACTAGCATCATCGTTCTATATTTCCTCTACTATTTTTTCATATTTAGTGTTTGCTTTGCATACGTTTTTAAAGTGGTTTAGCTTTCCACATTTTTTACAACTCTTCCCAAATGCTGGGCATTTCCTAGGTGGGTGTTGAAGGCCACAATACTTTAATCATTCTTTCTTTATTTTTATCAATGTAATTAACTGAAGGAAGGTCTATGCTGTTTTCGATGTTGTTTTGTATACTAAAACAGGATATTTGCTCCAGTTGCCTGATAAAATCAATACATGCTCCTAGTTTAGGCAATTCTCCACTCTGTATCATTTCTAGAGCTTTAACTCTCTGATCAGAAGATTGGAGACCATCAATCAATCTCATTTGAATCAAATCATCTTCCGCACTTTGGCCATCTCTTCCCAATTTTTCGAAGTTGCAAAAGCGTGAAGCTTCGCGTAATCTTTGTGCATATGATACGATGTTTTCATTGTTTTGCTGTTTTAATGCTAAAAATCGAACTCTTTCAGCAATAATTAGTCGTTTTTGAGGTCTCAAATGGGACATAACAACAGTTTTAATATCATCGAACATCATATTTTCTAATTCTTCTGAATATACCATAAGAGAAATCTTTTTAACTGCTTCAATCCCTGCTTTTGCCATAAATAAATCTGTTATCTCGTAGTTACCGTTTATCTCATCTTTTAATTTCTTTAAACGTGCGGAAGTTGAAAAGCATCTAATCCATTCTTCTGCATTATCTGGGTCATCTAAAGTCAAATCGTCCCTTACTCGTAGCGCCATTGTTGTGTCATTAATAAAACACTGTACTACACTTAAATATATATATTCTTATAAGTAAGCCATCTTTAATATACATTTTTTATAGCCACGTATGTTTATATATATCAAAACATTGTTCCTATTTGTCCGCATATGACCAAGGTTCACGGCTTCACAATGCTAATCACATAAAATCTCTTAAAATTCCCAAATACAAAAATGACACTGAATTATCAAAGGAGGTTTAGAGATTAAAAGATAAAAACTTGAACCCGGTTGTTAAGTGGAAAATAATTTAACAGTGCGATGCCTATAACCCTGTAACAAAACAATGTAACTTATGCATAAACGAAAAGTACAAAATTTTATTTTTTAAACACCAAAAATAAAAAGAGTGAAATATTATCTAAGTGCTGGCATAAAAACAAATTTCTTCTTGCCCAATTTGACACTGGCCATTAGCAGTTTTACAACTATGCTTCTTTTTTATTTGTTTTGTTTTGACGTCGGAACTCATTCTACTGCTGTTTTTGTATTTTGTATTTTTTAACGTTTTTTTTTTATTTGTATAATATTTATGGCTGAAGAATGCCGATAAGCATGAAACTTTTAGTTCCATTATAAAGTTGTATTTTTCTATTTAATTATACTTTATATATATATATATATATATATATATATATATATATATATATATATATATATATATATATATATATATATATATATATATATATATATATATATATATATATATATATATATATACCAGAGTTGTTAACAAGGCAAAATATAGCAAGGCCAAGACCACATGCTCCAAGGTTAAATGTTCCAATGCCAAGGACAAGGTAAAGGACACATCCAAGCATTTCACCGGGTAAGACTTAATTTCGAGCTGCAAACAACAAATTTGCATGTGTTAAATTTAAATCAAGGTTATGCGTATATATTGTCAATAAGAAAATATATTAGAAATTAGATATATAGTAAAGCTAAAAACAAAAATACGTAAAAATTTAAAAATATAAGATGTTGATATTATTTTTTAACATTAAATATAAGTTTTCAAATAAACTGTTATAGTCTTTATTGCATTTAAGAAAAATTGTTTCAAGCAAAGAATCTGATATACGAGCTCTATGAGGGCGCATTAACTAACATAACTAACAGTAAGTAACCAAATAATATTATATAATGTTAAAGGTTAATGAACTACAGCATGTAATTACTTTTAAACAATTCTATTGTTCTAAATTCAAAAAATGAACTTGCTAAAATAAATAGAAAATTAGAAAAAAAAAATTCAAGGCTAAAAAATTTCAAGGCCAAGGCCAAGAGTTGCAAGGCTAAGGTCAAGGACCTAATTTTTTTCATCTCTCTATATATATGTATATATCAGAGTTGTTAGTCCTTAAGGCAAGGCCAAAGACTATATATATATATATATATATATATATATATATATATATATATATATATATATACATATATATATACATATATATATACATATATATATACATATATATATATATATATATATATATATATATATATATATATATATATATATATATATATATATATATATATATATATTATATATATATATATATATATATATATATATATAGAGAGAGAGAGAGAGAGAGAGAGAGAGATGAACTTGTTTGTTTCTTAATCAAAAATAAAATTAACAAGCATGCATCATAAATTTCTTTATATAAAGAAAGTAATAAAAATGTGAAGACTAATCTTAGGATAGTTGGAGAGGTCAAAGTGTTTTCTAGAGTTTTAAAAAATTGGAACCATTTATTTAACACTTTTTAAAAATTTAGCAAAAATTGAAGATTATGATGGAAACTATGATGAAGACTATGATGAAGACTATGATGGAAATCTGAAACAAAAACTATAGAAGTGTTTAATAAAACTATGATGGAAATCTGAAACAAAAACTATAGAAGTGTTTAATTGAGAATTAATTTTAGCCAGAGTGATTTGGATGTTTAACAATGGTTAGTCTGTTTAACTATCAGGAAGGGTATGACCATTATATTCAAGAGTCAAATTAGAGTAAGATTTCTTTGAAAATAACTCTGCTTTATTCTGGGGAGAAGTAAAAAGATCAGATCCATGAATTAGAGATTAAATGTTACTAACAAAAAGTCTCTAGAACCTAACATCTGAGATATAATAACAGATTTAGTAAACTGAGATTAAGAGAGCTTAACATCAGACAGGACTTTTTTATTAGGTATCAGCATGTAGAGAGGTAGCATCTTCAGTAGGAAATGATAGTGGTAGAAGTAAGAAAAAATGAAGAGAGTGCCTTACATATTGTATGAATGAGCTTTAGTTAAGAGTATATTAGAGAAAAGTGAAGTTCATATTAGAGAAACAGCATAAAAGAACAATAAAAATTTATTGCTCAAGTTTTGTATATATTTATACTGTTTTATTTATCACTTATAATGTATGTAACTTTTAAAAATGTTTAAAAACACTAATGTAATGGAGCTTGATGATATGAAAACTTGTCTTCTTTTTGATGATGATGATGATGATGATCATGATGATGATCATCATCATCATCATCATCATCATCGTCATAATCATCATCATCATCATCATCATCATCATCATCATCATCATCATCATCATCATCATCATCATCATCATCATCATCATCATCATCATCATGGTTATGATGATTATAATGAATATGTGTATATATATATATATATATATATATATATATATATATATATATATATATATATATATATATATATATATATATATATATATATATATATATAGATTAATTATATATTTCTTTAATCATTGCTACTTTATAAAACTTCTGCTTCTCTTTTGTTAAGATTGCAAAATATAATTCTTAAACAATACTTATAAGATGATGATAATAGATATTTATTATTTAATATTTTAGAAACTTAATTTGCAAAAATTCAAACATCTTGTTCAAATCTAAAACACAATCTAAAATATTTTTTTACCTTCTCCTGACTTAAGTTCAATAAATATATGCAATTTGCCAGCTGGTTCTAGTTGAATCTAGATATCAATTAAACACAATAAAATAAATACATGACAAACAGGAGGTACTGATTTTAATATTACATCTGTTAGAGAATAATATTTATCTTCATGAAAAGAAATAGGTTATAAGATGTATTATTTAATGACTACAAAATTTGGTTTACTACTTATATATAAGAAATCTATTTTCAACTATGCTTTGTAAAATAATGAAGCAAGTAGAATACCCAAAGATCTGATTGTCCTTCATCGATGATATCTTGAATCAAAACAGAACTATTTGCAACAAATGAATCTGAACCAACTATAGATGAATGAAAAACAGTCAAACTCAACATCTTGGCTTTATGAAGATCAATACTAAAATCCTCTTCCCAAACAGGACAATATGTTGCTGTTTTCTTAGAGGTTTTGGCAATAACCTGATCATCAACATATGCTTGTAAATATGGATCAAGAGAGGAAACTTTCATTGAAGTTACAAATTGTGATTTGACGTTAGTTTTATTGAGATCTAATGCTTCCAGTATTCTTATTTTCATGAAGCCAGTAAATCCTGATTGTATCCCATTCATGTTTTTTTATCTAAATGTACAGCGTAAAAATACGTAAAAAAGAATAATAACGACAAAATAATAACTTTAATAATAACAATAATAATAATAATAATAATAATAATAATAATAATAATAATAATAATAATAACAATAATAACAATAATAGTAAAAATAATATCAATAATAACTTATATATGAACAAAAAAAGCAATTATTTAAAAAAATAATAACAACAATACGAATAATTTATTTTTATAGAAACTCGTGTTTATTAAACATTACGAATTTAACTTAAGATTTTAAAAATGACTCTTAAACAAAAAAAATATATATAATATTTACTTTGGAAATGTACAACTTGGTATTTTATTCTTTCTAAAACCAAAGCACTTTTCATCGCACTATTTTAAAATACACAGAGAAAGTCTTTATTTCTCTCGGAAATATACGTTAACCATACTTGAAAATTTGTACGAACGACAACTACGAGGAATTCAATACTTAAACATTACAAATACCGAACAATAACTTAAACAAAAGTGTTTTGACCGAAAACAACTTTTTTTTTACAGTGAAAGATGATTTTTTTTATTTTTTTATTTTAATTGTTTTATATATATATATATATATATATACATATATATATATATATATATATATATATATATATATATATATATATATATATATATATATATATATATATATATATATATATATATATATATATATATATATATATATATATATATATATATATATATATATATATATATATATATATATATCTATATATAGCGACGTTAAATCCGTGATAGTGAAATTTATTTTATATCATCTTTTATTTCATACTTTAACAATAAATAATGGTTATTAAGTGATTCATTTGTTGATTGAAAGTCTTTGTGGTTTTGTATTAGTTGATTGATGTTTTCTGAAAATTAATTAAATGAAAAAAGGTACTTCATACTTTTGAAATGACTTAAACAAACAATGTCTTAAAAACAACAAAACTTATTTAATTACGCGTTATTTCCTCTCAAACTAAAATAGTTTTATCGTAGTCTTGACGAAGAGTAAAGCATCCTATTGCTTAGATGTTCTATATTTCATTTCCTATAGCACTGAAAACATTTTCAAATAAAAATAAAATGTAACTTTTAAAGTTCTATGTAAATTTTAAAAGCATCTCTTCAGCCTTGTGTCATTTTTAAGCTGGTTACATCCAAGGTTTACTTCTATAAGTCTTTTGTCATTAAAAATGAATTCAAAAAAATCTGAATTTGTAAAATAAATTTTGTATATTTAATACAGATTTTTTACAGAAAAAATTTTTAACGTGATTTTTTATGAGTTCATGTTTAAAACTAGATTAAAACTAAAGTAAATTTGTTTGGAATATTAGAAATAAAGTTATTTGCGTTATTAAAAATCTTTTTCTCAAACTGTTTACTAAATGTGTTAGTTTTTTATGCTGTATTTTATACTTTAGTCTAAATATTTAAAATTTCATTCACAGATAGCATTACTGAAAATACACTTTACAACTGACGATTGAACTTACACTTACAACTGTCGGGTTTTATAGAATTAAATACTTTTATATATTTTTTTTTTTGGAATTCAGAAGATTTAAGGTTGGTTATAAATTTCAAATGGTGTGAATTATGAATTATATAGATTTAAAATAACAAAAGTTTATTTATATCATCATGTTTTCATCCTAATCTACAAATTAAGGTTGTAAACTAGTGGTTATATTGTTACTGAATCTTCGCCTCATTGTTGCAAAATTATTTTGTTATTCCAATATTGGCATTTCTTTATTTTCATATAAATATATATATAAATATATATATATATATATATATATATATATATATATATATATATATATATATATATATATATATATATATATATATGTACATATATATATATATATATATATATATATATATATATATATATATATATATATATATATATATATATATATATATATATATATATATATATATATATATATATATATATATATATATATATATATATAACACCGTCAAATTGAGGAGGTTTCGACTCCATCAAATTGAGGAGGGTTTAGACTTTATATGGTTTATGGTCATAATTTTTGAGCACTAAAATATTTTATTATGAAATTTAAACTTTTTTGATGAATATAAGTCTAGTTGAAAATAGTATAAAAAAAACTTCATCAACTCGTTGCTCTCACGTTTGGGGCAGGGTACTAGATTTTAGAGTTTCTTGTTCCCATTATCCTATCACAGTAATTTTTTTTAAAAGAATCTTTTCGTCATATGAACGTAAAAAAATTTGGAATATTCTTGTTGTTTATAAGATGGTTATTTCAAACATTTAAAAACCTGCTTTCGCCACTGTATATATATATATATATATATATATATATATATATATATATATATATATATATATATATATATATATATATATATATATATATATATATATATATATATATATATATATATATATATATATATATATATATATATATATATATATATATATATATATATATATATATATATATATATATAATATATATATATATACATATATATATATATATATATATATATATATATATATATATATATATATATATATAAAGCAGTGCTGGGTCAAAGGGGGCTAGGGGGATATAGCCCCGGGCCTCGCAAATTTAGCGGCCCCAAAAATTTTAGAGGACTTTTTTTTTCTTTTTAAGTCATTTTTAGGCTCTGGCCCATTAAAAGGCCTCCAAAAACAAAAATAGCCCCGGGCCCCAAGAAGTCTTAATCCGCCACTGATATAAAGTATGCAAAAAAAAATTATTGTACACTTAAAAAGAAATCTTAAAGATTGCACAAAAAAAAGAAGTTAAAATATTAAAAAAAAATTTTTAAGATATTTTATCAAGTATTGTTTTAAGAATTTATTTGTGTATTGGTAAATTAATTGCTTTTCAAACTTATTGAATTTTACACAAATGATCTAATGATGCATAAAATTGACTGCAAAAAAAAAAAAAAAAAAATTGTACGTTAAGAAAATAAGTGGTTATTTTAGCGTAAATCGATATAAATCGATAGGTCGTTATTTTAGCGTAAATCGAGCGAATTGAACAATTAAACTACTAAGTAAAATTAAAAATAGTAATTTTTAAAATACACTTTCGTCCTAGAAATAAATAAAATATAGTGTTTCATCAAAATGGCGTCAAAAAAAAAAACATTTGTTTTTCCATCAACGAAGCCTCATAGCTGATTTGAAAAATCAAGGAAAATCTTACGTGTCCATGACAGTGACAGTGTCCTCAGTCCTCTCGCTTACGTGTCCTCAATTGTTAAGAAGCATGATCTGATCGGAACTGTTGCTAGTGTGTCTGGCAGAGAACGGAAACGCATGCAACTGATCGCAATATCATCATTAATGAGGAGAAAAATAGATTTGTTTCAGCAGCTAATTTAGCTTTAAAAATTAAGAATCACGACATCACATTGATTGCTCAAACAATTAGAAACGTATTAGAGAACAAAGATATAGAGGTAGAGTCGATTGGAATTTGCAAAGAAGTACTAAAAAATGCCGATATCATATTGGAAAACAATTTTGTGGTCAGATGAGTAAAAATACAACCCTGTCCATCGGATGGAATCTAGAAAGTGTGGCGCAAAAAGAAAAACTTATGAATTGAGTATTTTGCGAAGTAGTGTAAAGCATAGAGGAGAAAATCTAATAGTTTGGGGTAGTATGAGTTGGAAAGAAATGGGGAAATTAACATTTATTGGTGACAAAACGGATGCTTCAATGTATCGCGAAATTCTCAAAGCCAAATTGCAACCATCAGGACTTAATGAACAAAGATGTTATCTGATCAAATTAAAAAATACGACACTTTGCTTATACATAAGTATAAACTAGTAATCTATTTTTTAATACTTTTTTAGTTTCGGTTGATAATCCATTAAATGTAAAACCTCCTTTAAACGTCAAGGTTCATACTTATTTTTGACGTCTGTTATTGGATTATTAAACGTAAAAAAAGCATTTACATTTTGTCTTTTTAAACGTCTAGACTTTTTTAAACGTTATAATGCGCTTAAGTTTAGACTAAATAGTTTAAATTGCACAACTTTAAAAATTCTTTTTAGTAGTGTATTTTAGTAGTGTAATCTAAATATATGCATATATATACTTTGCAAATAAATACTTTGTTTATGAAAGGTTTTTAGGTATATCCAACAAAAAGTCATCAAAGCAACAAAAAAGTCAAACACAATCATCATAAAAATTTAAACTATATATATTTAATTTTATGTAAAGTTTGGCGTACGCTTCAATGCTTTTAATGAACACGTTTGTTAACGTAGATTTAAGGTTATTTTCAATTAATAGTTGATTTAAAAAATTGTTGATGAAAGTAGTTGAAGAAAATTTTTGATAAATGTTGATTAAAGGTAATACGTTATTCGAGGTACAAATTAATTGTAAAATCAATTATGGTATTATATTAATAATAGTCGATATATTTACAATATTGATTATTATTATTTATATTAACTATTATTATTTATATTAACTATTGTTATTTATATTAACTGTTATTATTTATATTGATAATTGTTAGCTAATATTGAAAACTTTTAACCGACACTGAATAAATATGTAACAAAAAATTTAAAATTTACGCCTAAATCCTTTTGAAGCGTAGGTTTATTAAACGTTCACTAAACGTTTAAAATATTGACTTATGTTATTCAAAATTTAAACGTTTAATTAAGGTTTAATAAACGTGTAGAGTAAAGGAGGGTAAAAAGATCATAAATAGCATCAAATTATAGCAGACTCTTCCTAATGTGTAAAAATAAAATTTAAAGTTTTTTAATAGAGGCTTACTTACTAAATAAGGAAGAATTTCATAGCAGCATAAACTAACTTTAACCATATGCTTTATTTTCAAGTTAAGTTTTTTAGATGGCAATTTTTAATTTCGTCTAAAGTTGATGAAAAACTTTGCCGAAACCTTAGTTACTAGGTCTCCTTAGTTTTAAAATAAAAGATCAATAGTTGTTTCTCTTTATTTTCCTTATAAGTAAAGGAGTATTTAAATTTAGTAAGTAGAGGAGGCCGGGGCTAAGTGGCAGCAGGGTTAAGTTGACGAACTGCGTTTATCTTTAGAGCCTTTCATCAGGGAGTAACAAAAATTACACCGAACCTTCCTAATTTACTATTTCATCATTCACTATAGTATTGTCAGGATTCGTGCATGCGCATGGGAGATGTTAGAATTTATGTGTTTTTTGGACAAAAACGTAACATCCCAGTGGGCACCCGACGTCAATCCGACGTCGGATTTACGTACGATTTTCATCAGCGATGTCAAAAGACCTATTCCGACGTTGTTCCGATGTCAGTAAAATGACGTCGGGCGATGTCTTTATTTTAACATCCCCTGACGTCGTTTCGATGTATTTTGACGTTGTTCCGACATCTTATAAAAGACGTCCAAAAAACGTCGCAGTACTGACATCGATCCAACGTCGATAAAAAGACGTCGGGCAACGTCATAATATTAACGTACTCCGATGTCTTTTGACGTCTTCCGACGTCAATTTAACGTCCTTAAAACAACGTCGGAACAACGTCGTAAGACATCGCTGATGAAAATTTAATCCAAACCCAACAATATGTGTGCGATTGCGCTTTTCAATAAATATGTGAACTAAGCGTATTTTTTATTAATGGAAAGAAGTTTGAATAATGGTTGATAAAACATCACGAGGTTTTGTATGATGCACTAGCATAGTTTTTTAACTATTAAAATTTTCGAGTATACATTTTTTATAATATATAACTATTCGTTTTAATATTTATATAATATTTAAACAAAATTATTTCTTATCAAAGTAATAATTCCCAAATAGCTACAAGTATAAATTACTAAATAAACACAAAAATTTTATATCCCTGTGGTGTAGTGGTAAGCGCGTAGGATTTAGTGTTTAATAGACCAAGGTTCAATTCCTGCCGAAGGCAACGTTTTTTAGTTTTCAAAAAACACGTTGGATTTACATCGGAATGCCGACGTCGCGCGATGTCAGTTTATCCGACGTCAAATAACATTTCCATTTCCAACGTAAACCCAACGTCGATCCAACGTAGAGATCCGACGTCGCTCGACGTTAGTTCGACGTCGAAATGCCCACTGGGATTGCTTCCTTTTTACTTTACAAAGACAATAATTAGTCGTATGAAAAATTATTGTAAAAACTCCAGTCACAATTTGTTTACTATTTCCAGTCAGACCTTTTTTTACAATAGTTGCCGTTTTTCACGATCTATAAACTGTTTATTGGAAAAAGGCTTTTAGGGTAAGTTGGCAAAATTTTCACGGGCTCATAGCATTTTCCATATATTTTTATAAAATTTTTTAATATCTTTTATTTTTTTTTTATTTTTAACTATATTGAAAAAATTTATTTTTACAAAAAAAAAAAAAAATTTTTTTTTAGTTTTTTTTTTTTACAGATAAAAAGTGGGCTACTGTTTTAGCTGTTATACGTACTAATATTTGGTACCAGCTAAAAGTAATATTAATTTTTGGCTTAAAATTGTTGCCAAAATAAATAGTAAAAAAATTTATAAAATTTTGCACTTAATAGTACATTAATAACCATTTTTATAGTTTGCGCCAGCTTACCCCGGAGTGCAGTAAGTTGGCAAACGTTTTTTTTTTTTGAGGCCCTAAAGAAAAAATTTTTTTATAATTAATGCAAGTTAAAAATGTTGCCTAAATTCATACTCTTTAAGACTACGCCTTAATATTTACAAAAAATTTTGTCGTTAGGGCTACAGAACTCGAAGAGTAAAAACGGAGGCAACTAGCTCCAGTCTCCCTACTTTTTTTTTAAGTTGTTCAACATAACTATATAGTAATTGGACATAAAAACAATATTTAAAGGTCATGTTTGTTGCTGTAAAATTGGAGTTTGAGTCGATAAGTTGTTTAATTAAAATATAAACATTCATTTTAAAATAAGTTACTCTTAATGCCCTTCTTGACAAGTAAAAAATGTCTAGGCTCTTTAAAATAATTTAATCAGAGGAAAATTTAAAGTTAAAAAATAATGAAAATTTTAAATTTTTGTAAATCTTGGTTTTTGAAATGTATTTTTTAAGAGTAAAGCTAGTAAAGGAGGAAGTTGGAAAAAGTACAACTCCCTCGAAAAGGTGGTCATGACTTTCAAAAACTAAAAGATTATTTTTTGATGTTTCAGACATATTGCAAACTCAAAACATAATTGTGTTCATGCTTTTATCAAATTAGAGTGTCTTGCAAAAGATTGCGGTTTTGGAGAGTACACTTTTTGGGCTATTTTCGTTCATACTGAATAAACATACTTAAGTTGAGAGTCTATACTACTCCTGAAAGCGTCATACCAGAAATTTGTTTTAACATTGAAAAAAATAAAAGTAACTAAAAACAGTAGAGCATCAAAATTATTTTTATTTTCAATTGTTAATTTATTGTGTTTGATACACATCAATTTATCATTCACTTTGTTCTTTCTCAACATTTTAAAATCACTTTATTAAGTGTTTTAACTCCCAAAACATCAATGATGTTTTCATTGATAAAAATCTAACATGGAAAAACCATATAGAAACTTTGCGCAATAAAGTTTTAAAAAATATTGGAGTAATGTATAAAACGAGAAATTTTGTAAATAGATATTAACTCAACTTTATCACTCGCTAATCCAATGCCATACAAGCAATGCCAATATCGCATGGGCTAGGGCTAAAAAAATTCAATCTAAAAAAAAAAAAAAAAGATCGTTATACTCATGCCAGACCTCTTTCATTAAAAGTGAATGTTCTTAATATATACTAGCAAATTTTTTTAATGTTCTTCTATTTATGTGCAAATATAAGATAAACCTAACCCCTTTATCCTTTTAAAGTTTATATGCAATAAAGCAAAAAAACAAATATGACTTAAAAAATGACAATCTTACTCATCAATATTATTCTCATACAAGTTTTGGAAGATCTCTTTTAACATATCGTGGAGCTCTTCTGTGGAACTAAATAGTTTTGAAAAATTTTGATTTTTCTCAAAGTTGGAGTTTTCTTACTTTTAAAATTTGGCTGAAAAAAGTTATCTTGTCAATTGATAATATCATTGAGTTCTTTTAAGTTTATACCTTTTAAAAAAGTGTGGGATTACTGAATATATTGTTTTATTTTGAAATAGTTTTATATATATCTTCTTATATATATTTGTCAATTCTGATTGATTGCTTGATTGTTTGTTCCTAGTTAACAGCCAGACAGTTGGTCCTAGAAATTTGAAATTTGGTATAGATGATCCCCATGACCCAGGGAGTGAGGTCAAGTTGACCTTGGAGGTCACTGGAAGCCGCCCGGGGTCGCGGGGGCTTTCAAATGGTCATTTCTGGCTTGGGGGGCCGGATAGAGTATTCCTTGTGAAGCGCAGAGTTGTTTCTCACCCCTGGGGGTGGGGGTGTGGATGACCTCGGGGGTCGCTGAAGGTCAGAATGGTCTAAGAGACGGGTTGAGCGTTTCCTATGATGCAATTTTTGTCGGTTTCTGTTGTGTTCCATGGGTTGCTGTTACCTATTTCCTCATTTTCCAGAATTTTCAGGAATGTTCCACATTTTTCCGGAATGACCTAGAATTTTCCGGAATGTTCCATATGGCACAATATGACTGTTCCATCACCTTCCAGAACATTCAAGAACTTTCCATGTTATATCCTTATGGAATGTTCCATGGTGCTCTTTAGCTCCATCTAGAACCTTCCATAAGGATATAAATGGATCGCCGGAGATCGTGCAAAGCTCAGATTTTACCTGGTTGCTGAGGTGAACACATAATTTGCGGGGTTGCAGTTTTGGGAGTCAGTTCGGGGGGTCGGTTTGCTCTTTGCATGTTGTTGCGGGGAACGGGTGGGGAAATATTATTTCTTGGTGGTAACTAATTTATTTTTGGTTTTTTTATTTTGTGGTTGTCAACTTGGTACAGGGGCATTGTTCTTTTCAAATGAGCATTGTGTATGAATATATATAAAATTATGTGTGTATGGTGTATGTATAATACCTGGATGGAAGAACTTTAAGTGGTGTGTACCAAGAGGCTCTGCAGAGGTTTTTTATAGTACCCAGGATTGAGAGTTTTTTAGTCAAGTATTTGATTTTTGGAGGGTGGGTTTTCTTTGTACACCAGCAGCTTTGATTTGTTTTGCCGGTGCCCAGCGACGCAGGCACCTCTGCTTGTTCTTTATGTTGTTAAACGTTATTTTATGTTTTGAAATATCAGGTTAGATTTAAATTTTATTTCTAAGTGTCAATTATTATAATTATTTAACTGTTTAAATTTTTACTGCATTGTTTAACCGTTCTCATTTACAGGATCTTACGATCCTCTTTGAGTCTTCGTGTTCTGATATTTAATGTACAACGATATTTATACCATTTTTTTTAAAAGGAAATTTTAAAATAGAAACAAACGCTCCCATTATCATTAAATATATTTTGTTATATGTATCAAATATATTTGTATTAGTATACAAAACTTTCTTTACTTTTAAATTTTAATATAAATGTCATTTTATTATTTGACAAAAGTTATGTACTCTTTAACGTTTTTTTTGTATATTTTATTTATATTTGTTTATAAACACGGGCAATTTGTAAACGGGGCTCGGCGATAAGACAGTCATTGTCTTCTTCTTGTTCCGGCCAATTTTTATAAATGTAATATGTCTATATTGTAAATATATGAAACGGCAAAAAAAAAAAAAAAAATAAAAAAAAAAAATATATATATATATATATTGTATTAAGAACAAAAAAACAAAAAAAAAAATAAATAAAGTATTGTTAATTCAAAAACTAGTTTTTATTTTGATTTTTGAAGTATTATTTTGGAAATGCTTTAGTAAAATATTGCTTTGTTATGGAAAAAACTATTGATTTGTTCAATCTAAAGCTAAATTACTTATAGTTTAAATGTTGAATTAAACGTTTTTGTATTCTTTGAAAAGTGAGCAAAATTTAATTATTTTCAATAATTTTTTTGTCTAAATTAATTTTTATTTCCTAGGGTGCCACTCAATAAAGTCGAATTATGATTTTGTTTATTATTTAAAATATATTATTTAAAAAAAAGTGTTTGAAACATTTCTCTTTTAATAATTAATGCAAAATTTATCTTAAATATAATTTTTGTGTAATGTTTAAAATAATAAAAATAATACTTGTGTAATATTTAACATAACCTTATCAAAAAGAACACGTGTTTTCTATTTTATTTTTCTTAAACTATTATTTTCTTGATGTTGAAGATCTGGTAATGTAATTTAAATTAAAGTATTATTTTTTCAGTGAAAGACAAGCAAAGAAAATTTTCAAGCGAATAAAAAGTTCTGATTGGCGGAAAAGGAGTTGCTCAAAGAAAAAAAGAGTCCAGATCTAGATTCAGAGGAGTAACAGTAGGGTGAAATTAAACCAAAATAAAGCCCTAAGTCAGTCTCAGATGTAGGTTCTTGTTACGGAAACAAACGAACCGCACAGGCAAGACATAATTTCATCCCGGGTTATGGTAAGGGTTTTATTCATTTCCAAATATTGTAAAAATGTCGAACAACAGTTTTACAACCATAATGTTTTATAATAGAATCATATTGTATAATTAACGTCAGTTGTGCAACGAAATGTTGTAAAATAAAGGTTGAGGAAATAGAATCAAATCAATTTCGGCAACAACTATTGTACAACAAATACGACATTTCTACAACTATTGGAAACCAAACTTATATGAGAATTTTTTTTATACGAATTCGAAGTATTTAACAAGAACGAGAAATAATAAATTACTTTTGCAACAATTTATTAGTAGTAAATAAAAAAAGGAATGAAAGTAAAGTAAAAAATTGCCCCGCAAATTATTTGCGGGGCAAATAAGTTGACAAGTTGACGCAAATTGTTGGACGAAGTTGACGAACATAGTTGGACGAAGTTGGCGTAAATTGTTGGATGAAGTTAACGTATATTGTTGGACGAAGTTGACGTATATTTTTGGACGAAGTTGACGTATATTGTTGGACGAAGTTGACGTATATTTTTGGACGAAGTTGACGTATATTGTTGGACGAAGTTGACGCATATTATTGGACGAAGTTGACGTACATAGTCGGACGAAGTTGGCGTAAATTGTTGGACGAAGTTAACGTATATTGTTGGACGAAGTTGACGTATATTGCTGGACAATGTTGACGTATATTGTTGGACGATGTTGACGTATATTGTTGGACGAAGTTGACATATATTGATGGACAAAGTTGACGTATATTGTTGGACGAAGTTCATACGTATCTCATGATCCCAGAAACTAAAAAAGAAAATCTAAAAGATAAGTTATTATTAATGTATGTCTTATATACTAAACATTGTAAAAAAAAAAAAAGGAATTCAATCTATCAAACAACATAAGTATAGAGACTTGTTATCAGGGTTGGACTGGCTTGAAAAAACGGCCCGAAAAATTTGTTTATGGTGGCCCACTTTATATATTTAATATAGTAATCAACATAATTTACAGGGGTCCCAGTAGCCTTCACGCCGCCCGGGACAGCAACTCAGAGTGGCGTCCTTATTTTTCTAAATTTACCTAAATTATCAGTGAAGGACTTTTTTATTTTAGGTGTCTTTTTTAGTATTTTTTGTTATTTTATGTATAAAAAAGGACTTTTAAATTTCCCAGCCTAAATATTGATAAAAAATAAATATTTCTAAATCACTGCTGTAAGTTTGGGTCTAGAAATAGTATACACAACCACTATTCACTATTGACTAGTATAGCAACTTTTTCATCGTTTGACTAGTTGATGCCAAAACATCAATGATTCCATTATTATTAGTTTTAATTATTTGAGCCAGTCAAGTTTACAATCATTCATTTTGATGTTATTAGACAACAAATTGAATGATTGTAAACTTGACTGGCTCAAAAAATATCTTTATCTGTTCAAAATATATTTCAATTTCGAGAATAACCTTTCACAAAAAACTTGTGATGAGGATAATGCAAACACAAACTTACAATACAATAACAAATAATACATTTTTGCAAGATTTTTGTGGCTATCGCTGTTTTCTACAGCTAGTATTTTAAAGACAGTTTCTTAGGTGATTGTCTTTTGGCTAAAAATTAGGATAATTGCCCATCCTCCTTTGGGTGACTTGAAAGCTAATAAGCTAATGAGTAAAAAGAACAACAAATATTTGATTTACTGTTATTAGAAACTGATGATGTCTATATGTGTGATGGTGTAGTGCATTAGTATGTACCGTTCGGTCTTGATATGCTTTCGTCCATTTCAAACATGATGAATAGAAAGCTAAACACACTAACTTCTTGCGCTTATGAGCTAGCAAATCAATGCCAAACGTAAGACCTACAGATTGGATTTCAATTGATCGATCGCACTCATTAGTCACCTAGGCCACACAAATAATCACCTATATGCGACACAAAGATTGCATATAAGTAATTTTAGGGCTTCTAGTACTAGTTTCTTATAAACTTGTTTCTTATTAAAAAAAAAAAAAGGTTTTTATACGTATTATAAAATTAAAACGTAAGTTTAAACAATAATAAAAAAAAAACAATAATCTTATATAAATTAAATCATAAAGAATTTTTTTAACGTTAATAAGTACAGCTAAAGTTGTCTAAAGATTTAGATGACTTTATTCTTTTTTTTCTTTTTTTTTTTCTTTTTTTTTATGGCGCCCCATGACCTCGTGTCACCGATAGACTGCAATCTATGTTAGCTCTTGCCTAAACCGCCAATGAGTTCATATACTTAATGGTTGTTGACAAAATTCAATGTACAACCAACAAAATACATTGTAAAACAAACATAAATAGTGTAAAGTTTATAACAACAAAATATTATCAATATTAACAACAAACAACAACAAATTTAAAATCTACGTAATTATAAAACAAATAGTTTTTTTTTTTTTCTTCGTTTTATTTTTGTCGTTGTTTACAAAGATAAACAGACAAGGCTTCTGAAAGAAGATCATAATGATCTAATCATCAGAACCTTTTACAATTTTTTTAAAATCAATACATTAGCAAAACAAAACTAAAAAATTACAATAAATCGTGATATAAATTGGAAATATAAATCAAACCACTAATGTTATATATAATAAAAAGTCTGATCATATCATCAGATCTTATAAAAACGTAAATATATAAATACATATATATACATAGTAAATACAGTAATGCATCTCTTTTTTTAAAAGGCAAGAGAAAATACAACAGTCTTACAATTAAAAAGACAAATACGTGATTGTTATAAAAAGTATTAAAATATATCATCAATAGATAAAATAAAATTTTTAAGTTTAGTTTTAAAGATCGGAAATGTATTGGATAAATCAAAATTAGGCATAACAATTTTATTCCAAAGATAGGGTGCTCGAAATGTAATGCAAAATTTGTTAAATTTTGTTCTGCAAATAGGTTCATGTATAAATTTTTTATTTCTAAGTAAATATTTATCAAAAAAGGTTTTTAAAGACAGGTAAAGTTAAATCGTTTTTCCACATGTAAATAAAGCATAAAATGTTATAAACATTGAGCTTGTAAATATTAAGTATTTTCATCTCCATAAATAATGGTTTGGAATGAGTAAAACGATCCGCAAAATTAATCAATCGGATCGCATGCTTCTGACGGCGAAAAAGGCATTTTAGCTTACTTTTTTCGGTGCTTCCCCACGCAATGTTGGCATAATTAATATAGGTGTGAATAAATGAATAATAGAGTTGGGTTAAAGCTTTTTTGTTTAAATATGATCTAGATTTATATAAGACTCCGTTACTTTTGAGCAGATATATTCTATATGCGGTTTCCATGTAATGTTCTCGTCGAGAACCACTCCTAAAAATTTAGTAACAAAATCTCTTTTTATTTCAACTTTATCAATAAATATTTTGGGCAAATGTTGGGGTAAATAGCGTTTTTTAGAGAGTGAATGGAAAAGAACCCATTTGGTTATATTAATGTTAAGATTTAACTTGTTACATTTGAACCAAGTAGATATGTTTTTGAGTTCATCATTCATTGTAGAAAAGAGTTTGGATATGTCATTATAGGTCAGGAATAAGTTGGTGTCGTCGGCAAACATGATACTCATTAAGTTTGAGGCTTTATTTAAGTCATTTATATAAATTAAGAACAAAAGTGGCCCCAAGATAGAGCCTTGAGGAACACCACAGGAAATATTTAGTAGATGGCTTTGGTTATAGTTACTAATAAAAACAAATTGTTTGCGCTTTGATAAGTAACTACGAAGCCATTTTATAGTTATATAGTTTAATCCGTAGTATTTTAGTTTTTCAAGAAGGATTTCATGGTCGACAGTATCAAAAGCCTTCGACAAGTCAATAAAAACACCTAATGTATATTGGGATCTTTGAAAGGAATTTGAGATTTCTCGTACAAATTGGATGATTGCATGTTCAGTAGAATTATTTTTTTTGAAACCAAATTGATTATAATAAAAAAGATTATTGGAGACAAGATAATTGTATACTCTATTGTACATAATACGCTCTAAGATTTTTGAAAAGGTATAAAGGATAGTTATAGGGCGATAGTTACTGATATTGCAACAGTCTCTTTCTTTCAAAATTGGAATAACTTTTGCAATTTTTAGACGATCAGGAAAAACTCCTTGGTGGAAAGATGATTTATGAACTTTATAAAGAATATTTTTGAGATGATCAAAACACTCGATAATTATGTCACCATTTATTCCGTCAGCTCCGATAGCTTTTTTTTTTTTAGTGATTTGAAGGCGATTTGGAATTCATCAAAAGATAATTCTGAGTATAATATAATTTAACATTTGTTAACTAATAAGGTTTGTTTACATTAGCATATTACTAATTTCGATCCGTTCAAGATGGCTGTCAAAATTTATATAACTAGCCAGCAGATGTGCTATAGCACATCTGTATAACAACACCAAACATAATAACTTTTTTTCTGGCCCATAATAGGCTATAACCTATTATAAGCCAGAATAAATTTTTTTTTTCTAGATACATTTTTATTTACCGTTGATTATAATAATCAACGGAAAATAAAATGTAGTATAACTAAAAATCTGATTTTTTGGCAACCGGCCCACCGGGAATCTCCCGGCAGCCCAGTCCAAGCCTGCTAGCTATGACCAAAATCGGATCTGTATGATTACTAAGAAAAGAATAAAATAAATACAGAAAAAGGATTTACTAGCTTAGAGTGTAAAAACTATTTCAGCTCAAAAACTATTCAAGTTTTTAAAGATTTGAAAAAAACTAGGAAAAGAAGAGTTTAGAAGAGTTGTTTTATATTTTGATATAGAAAATGTTGTTCAGCTTTCAAGAGCAAATATATTTAATTTCTTTTATATAAAAAAAAATTGGCTTAATGATTGCCAAATAGCATGATACATAGAGTTCCATATAAAGTTGTTTGATTTAAATTATCTTAATATTATAGCTTTTGTCTATGTGAGTCTAACAATAATTAAAATTAGTGTTGAAATTTTCCGAAAAATTTCCGGAAATTTTCAACCATAATATTTTGCGGAACATGTAACAGAAGAAATAAGAAACAAACAAATTATTAGTTTTTTTGTTCTGATACTTGTTCCGCAAATTATTAGGGTTGAAAACTTCCGGAAATTATGGGGAAATTTTCAACATTAATTAAAATAAAACAAATTTATGGTATGATAAAACGAGACTTTACGAAGATACTGCATTGGGAATTTAAAGATTTAAGTTTTATTTTTTTGTTTTTGTTTAAAAAGTTGACTTTTAAACATTTTAATGTAGAAATGAAAACGCTGTTACCAAAATTATTTTTGACGATGTGTTTCAACTCTTTATCTTAAAATAGTTAACAAACTCATCTAAGTAAGATGAAATTCAATATTATATTACTTATTCATTACTTATACATGCTATGTAACTGTTTTTATGATTATAGTTATTACATATTCTCATCTACTTATCAAAAATAAGTTATATACAATTCGTGTTATTATATTAATACGCTAGATTTCTATTTATACCAACCAAAATATTTTTATTTTTTGCTCGTGAATACACTCTTTTTCATTATTATTTTTGTTATTGTTTTATCTAAAACAACCATGATGATAGCTATAAAGATATGTATGAATATCTATGAATACAAAGATATCTATGAATACAAAGCTTTAATATGTAGCTATCGAACAGACTTTCCGTCATGTTGTAGTTACAAATATTGTATCCACATTAATACAATAAATTGATATTGATAGATACAAAGCTGCCTTATCTAAATAGAGACTTGACGTAATAAAATTGCAATTTTATATTCAATTTTATTCAATTATCATCATAAATATATTAGATTCGATATTA